TGAGTTTTTGTGTACATTCTTTTAGAGGAAAAAAGTATCCACATGTATGTCACTGTGTTCCTTGTTGCTAACGTATACGGTAGACATACATGAGTAAAGCTGTTAGCTGTAGCAAATTCATGACGGATTTGCTTTCCCAAGGGAGAATCCTCAGGCATGTGGGAAGTTATGTGTTTGTCATTTTGCTAGTTAATTAGTTTGAAATGGTCTGTACGCAACAGCAACACAAGCCGCTCTCTGACAGTTTACGTCTGTATAAAACTTAATTGCATCAGCAAATTATTTTGAGGAAAACCAATTACTTTTTTAATGAATCTAATAACAAAATTCCTTTAACTAACATTTTCATAAAGCCACACATATGCATCAGTAATATATTCATTGACAATATCTCTTTTTACATTTGTAGCAACTTAAGAAAAACGGAATATATTTGAAATCTTTTGTCATCTTTCGGCTTGGTTAAGCTGTGAGAAAGATGTTTATATTGGCCCAAGGCATGTCTTATTTATTTGATATTTAAGATTACATTTATTTTCTTAAACATGAAGTGTTTTTTGTCTTGCAAATCTAACCACTGAGGGAACTCCCAGGTTTCCTTGTTTGGTGAGAGTTGTGCAACTTGTGCACACCTGACATCCACTCCTTATCACCCCCTGCTGATAACATAAACCATGCCAATGCATTCATTCACATAACAAGGTTAACCAGCCAGCAATTATGTTGCAACCAAATGTAATCATAAGTGAAAAAAAAGAAAACAAAAAGTAGGGAACAGGTTTGACCAACAATACCCACTTTGGCTAAGTAGTCAGAGAAAAGAGGTGAGAAAGAAGAGGAAAGACAGAGAGAGGCGGGAAATAAAAATAAACCATTTCCACACGGTTTCATTTACAAGTAACTGTTTTTTTTAATTTAAAAAGTTAAAAACTAGCAGAAATTCCTTGTCTCAATAAAAGGTAATTGAAATGTCATGTCTCAAAATACCGAAGGAAAGACAGAAAGGAAGGAAACTTTTGCACATGTTTACTTTATATGGGATTAAAAAAATGCATAAGTGCTTCAGAGGGTTAAACACACCAGTTCTTTCTGTCTTCTTTCTGATTTTTTTTTTTTGGCATCATTCTGTAACTGATCTCAAACCAGGAACATCCCCTGGACAGTCCAAAGCATTCGCTTGCAGCAATTTTACAAGATTGGGCTGGAAATTGTTTATATGTCTTAAGCAATACTTTGAATAGAGCAACATAGCGTTGCACTGCAGTATTGGTCCTTTGATTTTAGTTAAAGACTTTTTGTCTAACACTGGTTTTGTGCTACATGAGTGGACACAGATTTAACCGATACTTGCACCAAAGCAGAAACAAGCCAGTCAAGAGTCATGTAGGAAAACATAGGAAATTAATGATAAACTGAAGAGCATGCCGATTTCTGCAAGAGCTCCATATAGTTTGAGGTTTTGTTGATGGGAACTGTTTATTGACAGTGTTAACAGAGAACAATAGTCACATTTAACAACCAGTCTTTTTCCTATTTATATCAAAACAAACTCACAAAACAACTGAAAAATCTGCCCCAACATGATTTATAAATTTGGCCTTGTCACCCCCACCCACTAAAGTGTGACAGTAGAGGACATGATCATGAGTGGATGTGGAAAGACGCCTTGCTCTGCTTCACTCTGTCATGGCTGGTCATTCAGACTTATCAGAGCCATCTCTCTCTAAGGGTAAGAGTGGGGGGATTTACCACATGAACCATAACCCAATTATTCATTGGTGCAAATCCAGGAAATGGAGGGGCAGTTGGGTTTTTGTTTAGTTGTGTAGTTAGACACACTCAACTGAACACATTCTTCATACGATAAGAGTGAATGCTCCATGTGTGATGCTGTAATTAACGTCTTTTCCCAGCATAAAGATTTCCTTTCCTTGATCTTAGATCACAGACGTTCACGGGGAATTGGTTGCATCTGTGAAAAACACGAAGGTTTTTGTAATCAGATGCTTCGACTCCCTTTAATCAACTTTTAATCAATTTGACACCATCAGCAAATTCAAGACGGGGAATAATCCTGTCTATACTACGTTGTTTTCAGTACATTCAAAGAAATATTGCACCTCCATTCAATTTCTGGTAGCAAGCTGACACATGGTACTGTCGAACAAATGTTACTTTAAAAACAAATATTAGTATTTCTCTTTAATGGATGCATAAAAAATGTTAGTTGTGTTCTAGTCCACATGAGTATAATATTGTAAATAATCCTTCTAAGAAAATAAAAGGATGGGGGGGAAAGGGTGAAAAGTTGTGGTGCTGGCAATGGTAAGAAAGCCATTGGTATGATGTTTGGTGTGGGGGGGATAGTGTTACATGCCAGCAGCCTGCTGGCTTCTCCTCCTGCTGTACGCTGTGCGTATGGAGGAATGTGCCGTCTGAGAACCACAGGGAGGAAGAGAGTACTGACAGCAAGCAATAATCACAGTCAGCTTTTCTGTTTGTTTGTTTGTTTGCATGTATGTTACTGCATAAGAAGGCCAAGTCTTGGAGGCTTCAAAGCTGCTTCTAAAAAACATCTGTTCTATGAGTTTGGAACGCTAAAACAGCCTTGTCAGAGCACATGATGACTTACAATTGCGGCTTTAAATCAATATTTTCCTCCATCTCATACTGGATTGTTCCACTGGCAAGAGTTCAAGATGGACAAGCGCTCATTGAGAAGGGGGGGGGGATGCTGGAGTGGATAGATGGGAGGCACCCATTGCATTCTTTCAATTCACCACAATCAGAAACAGATTTCCAGCAATTAGTCTGAACTAACTTGCAGGTTTATTGACTAAAAACATAGTGACAGTGCCTCTCAGACGACCAAATGAAAACGATAACTACTAATTGTGTTTGACTGTCAGAATGAAGATCCTTTAAATGCCAAGTTATAATCTTAGTCACTTAGAACTTGAATTTGTTCACATTCTTTTCATTCTAATGGGAGTTTGCCATTTTTAATTGTGCTCTTTTGTGGCAGCAGTGACTTTGGTGTCTAAAAGAAATAAAATCCTTTCCAGATTTGAGTATAATTCATCTAATATTCTACAAACATGCAGAATGAAAAAAATAAAAGGAGATTCTGCTGTGAAGCTAAAGCCTGTAAACTGTGAGCCCAGAATGACCATCCTTTGAATTGATTGCTAGCTGTGGGGCCTCTTGTATTAATCTCTTTCAGTGTGTAATAAGTGAATTAGTGGGATGTAGAAGGTGATGTATGACAAAGGCTGGCATGTCTAAAACCTGCTGTAAATCCACATGCCACAGTCACTTAATAATGCAGTCAGAGACCTCCTGGCATCATTCTTCACTGTATCCATTGACAACCTGAAGCTCATAAATTTCTCTGGTGGTTTTTTAAGCTGACTGCTAAGTTATTATTGTTTCTAATATTTAGGTTAAATATACTGCAAACTAACAACTGATTTACCGAAGGATGGTTTAACATCCTACATAACTCACTGATCTCGACAGATGGCGAAATTAAAACTGCTGTCCTTGATTTGCAGGATTGTGTTATATATGCAATAATTTAATGGCGCAAATGTTATTCTAAAGCTGTGAAATCTGTAGGTTTGTTGACATCACATTTAGCTGTGTGTTCAGTGGTTTGTTTTAAAGTTTAGTTTAATTCAGTGACTCCATATTATTATCATTACTTCAACTGGGTACTATATTCCTTAGCAGCCTTATTTGTAAATTAAACCTTCAATAGAGGCTAAAACCTTATTTATTTTTATTTGATATAAGATGAATGTATGACAGGATAAAAGATATTTCATCAGTAAACTGATAAAATGATTTATATTCACAAGCAGATATTTCAAATCCAAGTGAAGCGGCATTGTTTCTCTGTGTGTGCTATGTCCTTTAACTTTTCCCATACATCACAAGCCTTCAACCCCCCACCACAACAGCTGGCGTCTCAGCAAGTGCCATGACGTTACACTGCCACCCCAGCCTTTCAGTATACGTCAAGTATTGTGGTGTCAGGGGCCCCTAATGGCCTTCAAAGTAAAATGCAGACAGTAGAACGAAATACACATACAACATATGTCCTTCAGCACAAAGATAAATAAAATTTCATCCTACTGTGGGTGAGTATTACAACATGGAAAACAGTATAAACAAATAGGTATTTTGGTTCTTCAGAATTATATGTTTATATAGTATGAATTATAGGTTAATCATAGCTAGAAGCTTAAATATAATATAAATTTGTCAATGTTATATTACAAAACAGCCGCATAATATGACAAAACAATTGTGTTTGTACCCTTATTTAATAATCCTGTGTGACTCACTGTTCTTTTGCACTTTTGCAGTGCTTTACAGTTTTTGCCAAAGCAGGATTGACACCATAACATCATACTGTTGTCTGCCCCAGTTTCCAGTTTAAAAACAAGAGGTCACTAAAAGTCAAAGCTTAAACCAAAACGAACAAATAAATTAAAGTATGGCCTTTAACCACAGACTTTATGTTATTTATATAGTTAATAAATAAATAAAGTTTCTCATGGTGCTTATGTGGCTTTGTTTAATAAACACGGGCTCACACTGCATTTTCATTCATAATAGTAACTGAGCCAAATGTAATCCATTATGATCAGATATTTTGGGAGAGAATAAACACTCTTTAAGTGTAAGGAAAGATTTGGTAAAAGAAAACATAGTGCAGACTGTTGTTTCTAGATAAACCCATTACGTTTATCTCAGCCCCTGCTCTCCATTCGAATTGATTCATGTTACAGATTTCGGTGAAATAGACGATAAAATACGCTGAACTGCTGAATTCGTCATTCTTTTTTCTTTCTTTCTTTTTCTTTTTTAAAGACGCCTGTGGTAGAAATTCTAAAATGACCTGTGATGAACTTGAACGCTGTTTTGATGTATGTAAGACTCTGTAGGACCCAGCGGAAAACTCCTCCAACCGGAGGGAGACGGAGCAAGAGAGAGTGAGAAAGCTGAGTGGGGAGAAGACGTTCCCAGATTAGTCAGTGGCTTCATGGAGTTATGTGTCTCTGATCCGCCGCCATGGATTGCAATCCGCGATCACTCCTTTTCGTTTTACTTCTTTTGTTGTCCTGCGTTATCCCCGCGTTTCCCGTCTTCTATCCCCCCAATGAAGGTAAGGGAACTCAGGCTGCGGACATGTGTGTTTGTGTGTATGTGCGCACTTGTGTTTATGTATGAATGGTGCGCTACGGCACGTATCGCGGTCAGAGCTGTGCGCTCGTCGAGGGCTTACTGTCTAAATTATAGTCTCAAAAATCAAAGGACTATCCAGAGCGAATCACGGTGACACCGGACATCACCGATAAAACTGGATCAGATCGCCAGCAGATAGTAATAATCAGAGAGTAAACTTGAATCCAAATCCGAACAAGCCAGACAAGGTAGCGCGATTTCCGATAATTTGGCTAAGATGACTTAATAGTTTTTAAATAGAGATGAATAAACTAAGTGATGTCGAGACAGCTCCCAAAGACGCGTGATTGTGGGACGAATGGACGAAAAGAAACTCCGATATTTGTGTTTATATGAGATGTGCGTGTCTGTCTGTTTTACCCAAGAATCCATTTGGGGTAGACGCCCCAGTTACTGGGTAACCGTGAGCTTAACTCAGTTTTAAGGCAATAAATAGAATATGAGAATATTCGCATAGTGCGTAAAAACGTGGCTGCTTTTTTAATGGGTTCGACTCGAATAAAGATTAAGTCTATCTTTGTGATCATGTAAATCTGCAGTTTCACGACTTTTTTAAAAGTTGCATTTAAAGCCGATTTCATGATAAATGAGCGACAGAGACGTTGCACTTTATCTCTCTTTAGGTCTTGGTCGCTTTCTAGGCGAATATAAGCTTGTGGCAGTATTTTGAAGCCGGGGCAGAAAAAGGCTACGGTAGACACGTCCACTAGCAGCACAGTCATTTATTCAAACATATGAAACTAAACTACAAACAATAAAGAAAGGGAAAAAAAACTTTACACAACAGAGGGAGGTTTGGTTTGAACTTTGTAAATTATTGGTTTACATCCTGACATCTTTAAAACTTTAACATGTTCGGGTCAAAGTGTGTGTATGTGTGTGTGTTAAGCAGGGGCAGTAAATGCAAATGCACTCTGAGGATGAGCTCCAACCCTTAGCACTCCACAAGAGACAGAAAAAAAATGTAATTGAGTTTATTTTTAATGTCCAGTTCTCTGTGGTTTATGTCACATCAAGTAAGGGATAATGTTTAAAGTTATTCTGGGTAAAAGTCCGAAAGAAAAAATGAAAAATGAGTCTGTAAATGTGAATAGAACCTATTAACACGATAGCCATCTAAATGGTGCTTTATGTGAATGATCAGCACAAAGGTCTCAGTTTAGGATACCCAACAGTTTAAACCTTAATGGCGAGAAAGTAATGGAATCCGTCCGTATACTGTAGATGTTTCAGTTTACACCACAGTAATTGAATGTTCAGAGACAAACCCACCCCGTGTAAACTTCCAGATCAAGGCTGATGTTGTTGGAAAAGTTTGGAAAGTTTTGGACGTTAGTTTGTAGGTCACGCCAAAGGATCTGTTTTATAATCCAACGATTATCAAACTAAAAGTTTCACTTGTCGCGCACTTAATAAATGAACTAATTCATCAGGCCAGTCACATTTCAGTGGATTTTCTTCTGACCCTATAAGTTTTGTGATTTCTTTTAAGCCATCAAGCCTAAAATCAATGTTTTCTTAACGAAAAATGTTTGTGGAATGTAAACCATTCATTTGATGCAAAAAAAAAAAGACTGTCCCCCTTTTTTACGCACAGCATTTGGTGTCTGGGAAATATATCTCCTTAGTTGTTAACGCAATGCAAGAGAGCATACGATTTAATTTATGGTGTTTGACACGAAGGCATGGGTCGGGAAAATGTGCAGTTCTGTGGTGAAGCAAAAAAAAAAAAAATAGAAAAGAGTCAAAGCCACCCAGGCCTAATGCAAATCCACATATAAGCATTTGATTGAAAAATAAGACTGGTGAAGTTTTAGTTTGGCTCACGATGGTAAAAAAAATAAGCAAATACACATTGACCCTAAAAAAAATACACACAATTCCACTGGTAGGAGTGTGTTAGTATTTTATTGTGCGTTTGGAGGAAAGGGAGAAAGTGAGACGATACAGAACGCGGAGTGAGTGGGGCGGGGGATAATTTAAGAGTTTAGGATAAACGTGTAATTTATACGAGTGAATATCAGAGAGAAAAGAAACGATGAGAAGACACACACACACACACACACACACACACAAACAGATAAACTAACTAAACAGTTTGCATGTTAGCTGGAACAGGGAAAGTGTCAATACAATGAAGAAATCAGGCAATTACGTTCGCCCTCCAGAGTCATAAATCAGCCAGAGAGTGTCAGTATCGAGCTGCCTCGTCTATACAACACATTGTATAGAAATTCATATAGACTTGTACACCACAAATATGAAGACGACAAAGACGTTTTGAATCACTTAAGCGCTGTTTCTCCGGTTCGGGTTAAAAGCTAAACAGATGGAAACACACGTCTGTTTTGGTCAACTTTGACAGTCCTCACGATGAAAGAGAACTCATATCGATCATTAATTTCTACAAGTAACAAAGTAGAAAAACATAGTAATTTACTACAAACCTTAGAATGAGGTCCACACACATTTTTTTTCCGTGACACAAAAGAAAATCAGAGGTATAATCAGTATATATGCACTTAAAGGGCTTTCTTGGATCTTTCTTAATCTTTATTTAGATCATAAACTTTTGCTTTAAAAATAAAGCAGACAATAAACACGCTGGAAAGCTGTACCGATTTTGAAAATACTGATTTTCATAAACATAATGTAACGAATTCGAAGACACTCTTTTTTCATGATCTTTTACGTTGAACTGTAGGTCACTGTTTACACGACCGAAACATAACGTCACTTTTACAGGCTTTATTTTTTATTTCACGCCAATAAGTTGAAGGTGATAAAATCTACCCTGGCGCAGAGATTATAAAACAGTCCACTTGAACATGGGGCGCAGTTTGTACGTTTAAAACTCGATGGCCATAAAAGCATCTTCTGTGACTTCGCTGACGTCTTACTGTAGTTTATATAAGCTATCAGTAAATTAGGAAATGAATCAAGTGCGTTATGACAAGTAAAGGAAAAAAAAGCATCAGTAGAAAAGAAACCTCAAGTTTAAAAGGATGACGACAAACTTATGATGTTTTCCTCGCGTCTGTACTTCGTTGAATTTTCCGTCTCCGCACCGCACCTCAGCAAGCATTTTTATTTAATTTTACTGTGTGGTTTTCATTAGGTCTTAATGATCCCGTAAAACTTTAGGGAAAGTTTAAGGAAATACAGAGAAACGCCTCAGTAATAGATTTCAGCGGAGAGGATTCATTTTCACTTTGAGAAGCCTTTGAGGAGACTTTGTGCTGACATTAGCTATCCGATATCGTTTAAATTCCACATAATTAGAAGAAAAAAATATCTAAAGTTTCGAAAGTCATTAGTTTCTATGATGTGGTGCAGCATGTCCTTCTAGGTGGTGTAATGCTGGCTCGCTGCGGGACGTCCGGAGGCCTCTGGTATTTTTAGTCGGCGTTAGGGAGGCTTGGCCCGGAGAGCCCGGCTCAGCAGTCCCGCTGGGGCTGATGTGCGTCTCAGAGCGATGGTACTTTTCAGAGGGGATGGAAATGTGCGCAGACGCAAAATACCCCTCACTCCCGTCCCCATGTATTCTAAATGCCTATATTTATATGTGTATGCTGACCGAAGGGTGTCATCCTCATTTTAACGTTTCATCTTCAGAGTTAGGCGAAAAAAATCCGTATTTAGGGAGACTACATGTGTAGATATACAGTACGTGGTCATGGTGTGCAGGAGTGCTCTATGCCTTTATGTCTGTGTAAATTATATGAGAAAGAAAGAAAGAAAGAAAGAAAGAAAGAAAGAAAGAAAGAAAGAAAGAAAGAAAGAAAGAAAGAAAGAGAAATGGGAGCAGAGGGGCTGGGCAAGCAGCAGCAACATCAGACAGAGCGACTCTGCTCTTGAATAATTCATAATGGGAGGTGAACACTTCACCCTTTAACACAGACACAAGTCGCTTGCTTTGCCTGCACTGCGGCCTGCCAACCTTCAGATGCATGGAACCAGGCTGCAAAGCATCATCCACTCTGTCAAATAGCAGATATTGATAGATAAGGACATGTGTTCTATGCTATTCTATTATGGAGGAAGCTGATTCTTTGGTCATGCCCCTCTCCTTAGTCTCTGACTGACTGACTCTTCTTTCTCCCCTCTAACATCAGCTGTGAAATATGTGGCTGCAGTGGAGAACTATTTCATGAGATTTTGTATTGTACAGTTATTATTTTCATCTGAGCCGTTACTCATGGTAACACTGGCATCAGAAAAAGTACCCTTTCTTGCTTTGTTTGCTACAGTGTTCAACACATAATATGCCAAGCGATATAGGTCACCAGCAAGTGAAAAAAGGATGTCTTCCATTCCTCGGGGCTAGGGTTATGAGTGTGGGCGTTTGATGGTGACCTTAGTTTGCTTTATATATTGATTCACCTGTTTCTACCTCTGTGATGTTTTGCTCCCTCCCAGACAGGCTGGCTGAGTTTGCTATTAATACTCGTAGTTCCCGTTTAGAGGCACTCCCTGTTGGGGCAGGGGCTATATGCTTGGCTGACGCTAGCTTGCTAACTGACTGTGTGTGTGTGTGTGTGTGTGTGTGTGAGAGAGAGAGAGAGAGAGAGAGAGATTGAGCGAGAGAGTAAAAAGACTGTCAGCAAATGTTGATGTGTGCACTTGTGTTTGCTTGAATGCGCATGTGTGAGAAAAACTGCACGTTTTGGTCAGGTTCTACAAAAAATGAATGCATAGAGTAGATGTGCGTGTCCATGTCCAACTACATCATGTGCTTGCAAACGCTTTCCTTTGGAGGATTTCATGTGTTGGCATCATTTGACTACCTCTCAGTATATAGCGTTTTTTTGTGTTTCAGAGTATCTCAGTTCTTCTTGCTTCTTAGTTGAGGATGCGTCCTTTGTGTTTGTTGTGCTTTGCATGTATTTGTGAACGTACATGCATTTGTGCGCATGTGTGGGTACTGATTTCTTCAGCCAAGTGCAGCTGGAGGGGGCTTTTTACTCCTGCGATATGAGAGCTGTCTAATTTTCTGCTCTCAAATTCCCTCACTCGGCTCAATTTGAGTGTTGGGCTCGGCTCGTTGAGAAATGTAAATTGGAAGCAATGGCCCTGGATGCTGAGCTGCTATTATCTGACATGAACAGATAGCTTCATTAAACTCTAATATGAATGTGTCCACTGCCACTCAACTGGCTCAGCGGTTTAGCATGACTGCAGCTCAGGTGAACATCTATTGTGTTTTGAGTCCAGAATAATAAATCTTGGTGTTTGTGTCTGCCTTTCTATGCTTCATTTTAAGGTCCTTTTATGCCACATTGGCTGATGTTTACCTGATAAGTCTGAAACAAAGAATCACTTCCTTCTCCAACTTTTTCTGTAGTACAAAACAACAACCCATTCACAGAGAAGTGAGATCGCTTCTTCTTGCAAATTTAGATCCCGGTGCTTGACAGGGGTAGATTGTGTTTGACTTAAAAGGCTTCCCTGTGAGCCAGCGGTCCATCATGACTTGATAAGCACTTGATATGTGGACATTCTTGCTTACTGAAGCCTTGCACAGGAGAATGAAGGAAGAATGCATTCTTCATATTCTCACAGTGAATAGAGTTACAGCTGCAGGGCCTCTACTGCACTGCTGCTTCACTTTGCTGTATGTGTCCACTTGCGTTGCTAAGTGTTTGCTACTTGTTTGAGTGTTCAGAGCTGTCGACTTCTTTGCTCTCAACGGGATAAGTAAAAAGAGGCTGAGTCAGTGTTGCTGGAACTGATGAAGTGTATTGCTCTTTTTTTCTTTATAATAAATGGTTGTCTGTCCTTTACTTTTTTACCCAATTCACATAATCCTAAGCTACATTTTCTATTGCACAGTAACATATTAAAAGTATAATGTGTCCCAATTTAGCCCACTGTAGGTTTATGTGCTTTTTTTCTCCACCATACCATTGCTTGTCAGAAACATTATATTTAAGCATCCTATTTTTCCTCAGTACTGTTTGAAAAACAGGACTAAAAGGGATTAACTGTAAATAATTTACGTCATGAACACCACCAAAATCTTTTTGTGTATTTTATTCTAACTACATAAATTGTTGTTTGAGGTGAGAGCACTAAGCTTTATTAGTCTGAGCTTTGTGTCGCTAGACAGAATCTATTGCCAAATTGCTCGTGACAGTTTGGTTGCTGAAGTGGGGCATCCTTTGAGCATAAAGCTGCCTTCACATTCCTCACTCCATGTGTCATGACCCATGCTGACAGTTGTATTCAATGACAATTATTCACTCCACAGCCAAGTGTATACACTAAGAATAGAAAATGCTTCAGCTCCTTTTAAGATACTCTGTGTCAGAGTCAATTTGGCCATCACATCTACTATTCACAAGTGTACTTCTAATTATGTTCTGTGGAGGTAGGCAATAAAAGCGCTTTCACAAATAATTTGTGACTTCAACACTGCTGCACAACTGACATAGTTATTCGTTCGGTCCCTTAAATTCCATAATTTGAATCCTGTTTTGCTAAGCCAGGGCCTGCACTTGCATGATTTAACCACTGAAGCTCCTTGTCTTATTTGTCCTCAGTCATATTTCCTCTATTAGACATGGATCCCCTTCTGCTGCTTGATGTCTGTTTGAAAAGAACGAATTTCTGGCAGGAGACACACTTAAAACTGTTTTTTTCCATTCATTCTGGATTGGATTTATATTTTGATTTCAGTGTGGCCAATTGAATTTCGGACCACCTCTGAAACCGGTGATTGCATTTGAATTTAGATCCAATAGAGTTTTGCTTCACCTGGTTACACTCTATTTTCCATGGATATGTGTGTGGGTCGGTAGAATGGGGGTCAGATGGGTCAAAAGAAAAGTCTTTAAAAAAAGAAAGAAAAAAAAGGAAAAAAGACATCTGGTGGTTTTTGAAAAACTGACTGTACTTTAGTTCAGTACCTTTTCAGGATATTTTCATTGTTTGCCCAGTGAAGTTTTGATTTGATGCCTTACAAAGCAAGGATACAAAGCCTACTTTATTCACTTACCTTCAGAATAAGGATGTGTTGGAGAAGTGAGGACAATTTGACCAGTCTTAACTTTCTTCTCTCTTCCAAGAGCCCCTTAAGTGTTAACACTTAGTTTTAGAGTTAAATCGGTTTAGGGACGGGTAGGCTAAGGGTCTAGGGAATGGGTTATATCAATGAATGTCCTCACAAAGACATCAGTACAAGTGCTTGTGGTTGTGTGTATGTGCATATGTCTGTGTGTGCGTGGGGGGCAGCTGAGTAAATAGAGTCATGATCAGTGCTTGAGGTTGGTGAATCCTCCTGTGGGATTAGATAAAGGCTAATTGGGGCTAACAAGGGCTAGACACTCATATGTTTTCTTTGTTTTTCCTCTCTCTCTTCCTCACCACAGTCAACCTGTTAGACTCAAAAGCAAGCCAAGGGGAGTTAGGATGGATTTCCTACCCATCACATGGGGTGAGTATCTTCCATCTCTGTATTTACCCACATCATGCCTGAATATGTTTGCATTTAGGAGACAGATCCAATAACATGAATTGAATGTCAGCTTCAACCGTGAAATCAGCTTTTTCAGATTTTTGTCGTTCTCACTATGCCGTGTTGAAACAATCATCCAATGACGATTAACCCACTTTTTTAGGCATTTTGTTCATTTTTTTATTTAGCAGGGTAAAGTATTCAGAGCTTACCATACAATCATACTGCCTGTATATGTGTTTGTGTTTTTGAATACATGTCTGTATAAATAAAGATTAAACATGAAAAAGCATACATTTTGGACTTTTGGTCCAAAAACATCTGCAAAAGAATTCCAGATTTACTTCCAGCCTCCCATTAACAACTCAGATAGCGTTTAACAGGAAATTCCATCAACAGCTGACTTGTTGCACAATGTGATATTGCCATGTTAGTATTGTTCCTACAGTATCTTAAATAATGGTGTTAAATGGCCATCACTGACTAGACACACTGTTCTCATGTCATACTTTTAATACCTTTGTTCCAGAAATCATGGGTTCATATAATCATCATCAAATGGGTTTATATTAACCCAAATCATATTTTTGTTTTCTTAACATCAAGTCGTTTTGGTGATTAAACCAAACAAATTACATCTCAGTTATGCAGGCCTAAACACTGGTCAATGACCCCATGATAACTATCGGTCACTTGGAAAAAATGTTCATTCCCTGACTGACTGGCGAATGGTTGTGAGATGTAGCTTTGTGTTGTTTTGTGAAATTGGTCATGAACAGTGATGCACTGAAAAGGTTCTTGTGATTGCTTTGATCGCTACCACATTGGTGCGGATGCCAGTAATTTCTTTGGAAGATGATGAGTTGTCCGCAAAAAATGCACCAATTGCTTACGGAGAGGTTATGGAATTGTGAACAGTGCAATCGGAAATGGAGATGGTGTTCTCTGTTTCCAGTTTGTGTTGCACTTTTTTATGTCTGTGGTTACTTAGTGAGTGTTTCAAGTTTCAAGTTTTGTTGCAAACGATGGGCAGTTGTGTCATACTGCTAGTCACTAAAGCAATCGCAAGGAAGTTTTTAGAGCACCCTTTTTGTGACCGATTTCAATCAGTCAGCAACTGCTTGCCATCCGGTCGGGGAATATATATTTATCCCTAGTGACCTGCAGGTTGACAAAGGGGTCATGTATCAACCTCTAGGCCTGTGTTGCTGAAGCCTACACAAGTATTGTGTAAAATTAACAGAATGTGACTGAAAACAAGCAAAAACATTAACTTCATCTAAAAATATTAACTCAACTTTGACTTTCATAAACACATGTGTTTTAATCTATTCATTTACCACAATGTCAACTCTATGTATTTTCTTCTATTGATAATACTTCTGCCCCACAGGGCTAATGGTGCTAGTGTTTTATGGCCTTATTCTCAGAGTAGCACAGCTAGGACATCACAGCAATCTGATAGGTCAGTTCAATCAGTCGCCATGGACCAACATTAATTTATAGTCGTATAAACAACACCCACCCACATGGCAATATCAAGTAAACCTTTGATTTGCTAATCCATAATATGCAACACTTCATTTTGTCTGTCTTTCATTATATTACAAAAACTACTGTAACCTTTTATCAAGCATTTTTCCAAGTTTGTTTTATCCATTAATGCAATTGAAATTAACAGGAGCACAAGGAGGAATCACATTAATATTGTTTTTAGTATTAGCATTATTTCATTGGATGTAAAAAAAAAAAGCTCATATATCAGTCTCTGCTTCTAAAATCCTCCAATGGGCTCTTGTTCAGTGTTTATTTCTCCAACTAGTTAGACTTCTGTGCCTCTGAGCAAGCCCACTGTCTCTCTCTCTCACACACACACACACACTCATTCACACATGCACACACACACTTCCTTCTTTCTCCTTTATTAAGTGTTAGAATTACTCCTTGGCAGTGGCTTAAGGTAATCCAGTCATTTGTTCCATTGAGCTGCCAAACCTTGTTTCTCTCGGCCATATACAGAGCTGGCACCAACAGAGCACTCGGTTTTTTCATGAGGTTCAACCACAATGAAAAAATTACCCAAAGGAAAAACTTCAGGTCCTTAAAATGTATTTAGTCAAAAGACAATTGCAACCTACACAACAACTGCATGACCAGCTGACAGGCCAGATTGATGTTGTGTTGATAGACATTATTCACATGTAAGCAGCTAGGGAAATACTCATTGATACGGCTATTTGATCCAGCGCTGGACACCAGACTTTTTTGACAGATGTTAGGCAATTTGTGCAACCATGTCTGTTTTACTTCAAGTTTTTTTGCTTTGACCAAGTTCAGATAAAGAGCGTGTGGTTATATAATTCATAAAAATGCTGCAGGAATGTGAGTCAATGTCATTGTTAAATGAGAATAACTCCAGAGAGATAGAGAAGGGAATGGGGGGAGGATCAAAAAGAAGGAGACTGATAGAGGCAAAAGGGATGAAGAGAGAGGGGTGGGGAGAGGGAGACGGAAGCAGGGAGAGGAAAGGACAGGAAGGAATGAGGGAGAGAGAGTCACACACACACAGATATTGCTGATGATCAAGTCCTCAAGGTGAATCATCTGTAATTACTCACGTCATCCACTGACTGCGCTCCGATAAGCAGAGTGCCCTGAGAGACTCCTGCTCACAAATGATTTCTCATAATGTGGCAGTGGCACTGAGCCCTCACTCCCTCCCTTTCTCACGCACACACACATACACAGACAAACACTCATTCACATTGATGGAGAGGCCGTGGCTATTGGCCTACCGAGACACAACGTGCTCCGGTCAGAACAAATTAAGAGCTTAGCCTCCCCAGGATGTTCACTCCAGAGCCACCGACTGGACTGATGAGTGCATGAGTGTGTGTGCGTGTGTGTCTGTGTGCGTGTGATCCAGATATACAGTTATCTGTCTTGGAAGCTGGCTGATTGCTTAGCAGTGTCCAGGGGGCTTAGCCCATCACTAAAGAGTGTTAAAGATTACATTCTTGCATGCTTTGAAAGCATTCTTCAGCAACAAACCAACACCCTAGACACTGGCTGTGCATACAAAATAGAATTAATGGATAATTACAAACTAAAGTCCATTCTTCATAAGAAGGGAGAATACAATGTCCTTTCTGGTTGTACTTGGAACTTAGATTCATTGTTTTTCAAATAAATAAAGTTGCTGCAGCATTTAGACCCAAAGTGTTTACCACAAGTTATAGCTTAACTCTAGTTTGATTTTCTGATTAAATACCAAGTTTATGTCAGTTATTTGCTACATGCTAATCAGCAAAAATAAAAAAGTTTAAAACTATTTATACAGTAAAAACATTGCCTTGTAATTGTTTTTACATGGGTTCAACAGTCTACATTACTGTGTCAGACTTTAGTAAAAGCGCAGTAACATTTGTATTGTTGATGATAAAGAAGCTTGACATCTGTAGAATAAAAAGCCAGTGCTCACAGTATGTGAACTTTGCTTATAGTGTCTGGACTCGCACAAAAATTGAACCAAAACACATTCACACCTCACATTCCAATTCTCAGGTCTGGAATGAGAGGGTGAGGTGACAGGCAAATAATAGCAGGGCTGATTATGCTTTGGGATCAGGCCCACCAGTCAGCCTACTCTTTCTCTTTCTCTATCTGTCTTCTTTCATTTTGACAACTGCTGTTTCAGCTTCTTTAATCATCCAAGTGCTTAAAAGCCCCCGTGAACTGCGTCTACTTCATGTGCAAAATCAGCCTGACCAGATAAACTGCTTTAAAGGGAGAAAGAGAGCAAACCTATCCTTAAACAAGGATTAGTTTGGTAATGCAAGAGACCAGAGGTAAGGAGGAAGGGGGAGGGTAAAATGATTTATTGTTACTTTCGTGTTCCTGAGATAAGTTGGCACAAATCCTGAGGAGTTTATTTTATTACATCCTATTAAAAGTTGTATGCATTATACAACTGTACTGATAAGCACAGTCAGATTTTGTACTAAACCTCCCTAAACTATGAAAATCTTAGACCTCGGTGTTACAAAGAAGCATTAGTAACAAGTAAACATATATTTTACCAGTGCAGTGAAGATCATGACATTTTTGAGGCAAGCGTGTCTTAAAAAAATGAAAAAAGTAAAGAAAAAGAACATTAAGAACTTTGACAATTACAGTACTCACATTTTTCTTTCTTGAGTACTGTTTAAATATAAATGAACAGCATTTGTGATTCCAGCATCCCCAAACAATTGCCATCAGCTAGTCTGTCCTTGAACAAAACACAAACAATGATTCGTCAGGCAAAGCTCAGGGTCGCACATAAACAAGAGATGGGATGAATACAAGGAGGGATCACATAAACATTCAGGTTTTCCTTTGGCCGGACAGAGTGATGAAATATCCTCTATTTGATATGTTGCAGTTGTTGAGCCTGTAACCCCAAAGACCTCTGTGCTCTAAGCTTCTGGCCCAGCATTTGTTGCAGACACTCCGGCTTTTAGGATCACCCTCTCCAGCTGTAGAGATTTAACAGAACGTTGTAATTATAATTGTTTTCTTTTTCCGTTCAGTAATCTGATATCCCAAAATCACAAATAGCCAATTTTGGCAGATGAGTAAATAAAGTGCTTATTTTAAAAGTAAAAACCAAAATGTGAACCATTCTGGTTTTGATTTTAACAGCAAGTAATTGTTTTTCTCTCCCAAATTAAGTTGAAATAATTATCAAAATCTTTAAATAAAAAAAGTTTTTTTACATAACTTGATTAAACTGAATTATGCACTATGTTATAAATTATCTAAACTATAACATAATGAAACATTTGTTATGTTAAGCTCTTGTTGAGCAAGTTAGACTTGTGATAAGAGCATGATTGAGCTTGTTTTCTTACACTTAACAAGACTTGCTTTTAATGTATTGCTGCCCTTTACAAGTCCATATACTGGCCCATTAACTACCATTGACCTGAGTGTCTTTGAAGTGGATAAACTGGTGTGCTGACTCTGTGACTCAGAGATGTGCCTGTTGCTCTAGGTATGTCCAGAGCAGATCAAGTTACCACACTTCATTTTACTGTCCCTTTAGCTACTTCACCTACAGCACAGATCAGAGAAACCAGGGGCAAGATTACACTGAACTTTGTCCCAGCTGTGACCATCAGGGGTCAGGGTCAAAGGTCACGTGGACTGCTGTAGGGTCCTAGTGTTGTTATATATCAATTAGAGGGCAGGGGGATGGGAGTTACACCCTCAACCCCTTGAAGAGAAACAAGGGAATAGCTGCTGACTAGATCTTTTTTTCATCCTGACTGACATTCAGCGTTTCTTATGTAGGTGGAAGAGCTTTCATGTATTGCAATGAGTGAGTAATAGCAATATTAGTGGAAATGTTGGGTCTAGAAACTCATGGGTACTGTGGTACACCTCCACTGACCCACACATAATGTAACAATCAACTAAATACGGATAATGATGTTAACATATTCTCTATTTCTTCTTATTTCTTTTTTACTTCTGGTCTAAAGGACAGAGAGTTGCAACTTAGAAATAAAGTGAAGTGATTCAAGGTTAGACAAGTTAACTCCTATGATGTAATGATTAGGGACAATGATGGGGAGACATTTATATCCCTCTCATTTACTTTGGCAGAAAGTTGCTGAAGCTGAGTCATATTCTCATATAGCCTACTTAATGCACACATGCGCAGGCACACATACTGGATTTGATTTGAAAACCTTTCTGTGTTTGTGTTTGGCAAGCTTCTCCATAAGACAGCTTACAGACTGCCATCAGTCATAGTTGCTTTAGATTGAGCCCAGTTTGGAGCATACTGGACGAGTATAAAAAGGAATGACACAAAGCTAGTAGCTCACACTGAGATCTGCACTACTGAGAATAAACAGGATTCACACAAAGGCTGTCTCACTCCAAACTCATTACACAAGGAACTGATGGTTGAACAGGGCAGTCTGTTACCTCATTGTAAAGTACAGTAGGTAGTACCCCTACCTGAAGGGGTACTCTATGAGCCTAACTTGAAGAAGAAGTACAATGTCTCACTGGACTTGTCACCTGTTAAAAAAAAAAAAGGAAAATGGAGGAGAAGGCTGTTTGCAGAATGGTAGAAGTTCATAAACTGCTATATTTCATTCCTGTTAAGTTCAATTTTATTTATAATAATGCCAAACCTGTTAGCGGCAATGGGAGGGAGGACAAAAGACCCACTGAGAAAGAAATCCAGAGATTAATAGTAACCAATCTGGTATATTAAGTGGTGATAAAGACAGTTAGTGAAAATAGGTGAGTAAAGAACAAACACTAGGCCTATTGCAGCGTAACATAGAACATTCAGGGTCACCTGATACAGCCTTTATCCACAGTATCATCCTTTGTTAATCCTACAAAATGTATAAAAAGTGAATAAACAGCAACTGAAAAAATGTTGATGTTTTACATGACAAAACTGTAGTTTTTCATCCAATTTTTGGAAAATAACTGTTCTTCCACTGTAATATTGAATGATATATGCTGTATTATGGGATTGATATGCTACAATTTACTCATATGCAGTATGGTTCTATCCTCAGCTTTAATCTTTTTTGTTGCTGTTCTTAGCACCTTCACTGGCACAAGTCACCCAATTTCATGTATTTTTAGACAGAACGCAAACATCTGTCACGTCTCTTTTAAGCAGGTCACCACAAAAAAAAGTTAAATTACTGGTTGAACTCTCCTGGCAGAAACACACTGCTTTAACCATGACAAAAAGCACACATCTATATACAGGACAAGCATAATAGGATATATTATTATTCTCATGTTCACGGAAGTCTATTATCTTGTAAAATTTAATGTCAGCAAAATCATTAATCAAAGTGGCAGTCCTTGCCTTCACTTTCCTTTTTGTTATGTCAAAGTCTTTCAACATAGCTTTTTGCATGTCATCACATCATTTTTATGCTTCTGTTTAAAGTCGTGCTCTTACACCTTTGAGTAAAGCAAGGTGAAATGTTAAGTTTAGCTTTACCTCTCTATATTTAGTCCCACTCACTCCTGCAGACATTTCCCTGTTATTGTTAGACCTCCAAAGAGCTAGGACTACTGGCTGATGAATGACGTGATACCAAAGAGGGTGATGGGGGAGACTAAACACCAAAGAAGTATCGGCCCTCAGTTTTCATTTCACTTTATCTCTTGCTTTCTTCTTTTTCCTTTTTTTTTTAGCGCTTTCCTTTATTTCCTCTTGTTTTCTCTCCCCTGTCCTCCTCATTCTCTCGCTCTCTCAGGGGTGTTTCATTAACTTTGCCGTGAGATGAAAAGTGAGTGGCTATCCCTCAGCCTGAGAGCCTCTTGAACATCAGACATTCATACATATGCTTTACACCCGCACACCCCCACACACAGGCAGACAAAAACATGTAACAGAGAACCAACTCCTTCTTAGCTCGTCATTAATTTCTGAGTTCAGCTGAAGGCACCTGCTGTGTTTGCCTGCTATGAGACTTTAAACACTTCACATGAGCTTTATGTGAGTGCGTGTGTGGGTTTATGTTACCATTAATGCTTGTGGGTGAAAGGAGCAATAATTTAGGTTCCAGTTACCACGAAATTCTTTCTCTGTATATCTCTCCGTCTCTGAAGAAAGTGCTGCTCATTTAGACACACATGCATTCTGGATTTCACCATGAGAAAATATACACAAAAGCATCCATTTACGCATTTACGCCCATTTGTTCTAATGACTGCCATTTCAGCCACTATGAGCCCGCTATTTCAGGTGTTTGTCCATTCATCATCACTCCGATTCAGCGTTGATTTGCCGGGACAGCAAAGCCAAAGCACATGATCAATGAGTCTACCCGCTGTGTTGAATTCAAAAGGAATGACCCCACTTTCTTTTTCTCCTCTCCTCTCTCTTTGCTTTCTCCCAGTGGAGGGAAAATGTAAGATAGACACAAACGTTCCTGGTATACACTCTCATCTGTCTATACGTCGTAGCTCCTTTTGTTTCATAGTGGATTCAGCACGTTTCCTTTAGTAGAAGTAGTAGTGTGATGCAAATAACCAAGACTGCAGCTTGAAAGTCCTCACTTTTAGAGAAAAACATTTTAGTATAAGGGTGGAAAAAAGAAACACTATGAGATTTTGTTAATATTTAAAATTAATTAAGCTGCCTCACACAAATTTAAAAAAAAATTGAAGATCACGTTTTCTAGCTTTTTTTCTTGGCGATATTTTCAGAGCCTTCTAATGTAGAAAATTTGGCTAAGCCAGCAAGTTTGCTTTTAATTAATTTCAACAATTTACAAGAGATCTGGTAGTGTGATTTTTCACCCTTAAGTGTTTATTAGATGCTTAGTATTCAGCAAGAATGTTTCTGGATCTAAATAATTCATCCCTAAATGCTTACAGGGTGGAGATAACTTTATTTTTTCTCTGCTATCTTCCCCTCCTTTCCTCTTATTCCTCCTTCTTTGACTGCAAATTCTCACTTTCCTCATTTGTTCTGTCTTTAACTCACCCCATTCCCTTTACTCCCTTTGTTTCTCTTTTGACCCCAAACTTCCCAATCCCCTTGCTTTCCTTTTTTAAATCTAATATATTTTCACTTGATCCTTTTCATTACTCATAAAAAAATCTGTCTTTCCTGTATCTATGCTTCTTCTACTTTTCCTTCTGTTGCATCCATTCCTTGTTATCTATCGCTCTCAATCTTTAAATCTACCTTCTCCCCTTTTTTTCTGTATTTGGTCTCTCTTGTCTATTACTCTTCCTTGTCTTCCTCTGTTTCTCCCTTCGACCTTTCCTTGTCTCTATTTTTTCCAGTGGGAGGAGATCAGTGGGGTGGATGAGCACTACACTCCCATCAGGACCTTTCAGGTCTGCAATGTGATGGACTACAGCCAGAACAACTGGCTTCGGACCAACTGGATCCCTCGCCAATCTGCTCAGAAGATCTATGTGGAGCTGAAGTTCACTCTGAGGGATTGCAACTCAATCCCGTTGGTACTGGGCACCTGCAAGGAGACATTCAACCTCCTCTACCTAGAGGCAGATGATGACCAGGGCAGCCACTTCCAAGAGCATCAGTTCTCCAAGATTGATACCATTGCTGCTGATGAGAGTTTTACTCAAACTGACCTTGGAGATCGCATTCTCAAGCTCAATACTGAGGTACGCGAGGTGGGTCCCATGACCAAGAAGGGTTTCTACCTCGCATTCCAGGACGTGGGCGCCTGTGTAGCTTTAGTGTCAGTAAGGGTTTACTTCAAGAAGTGCCCACACACTGTGAGGAATCTTGCCTCTTTCCCTGATACTGTGCCCATGGACTCCCAGTCACTGGTGGAAGTCAAAGGCTCATGCGTCAATCACTCCAAAGAGGAAGAGCCTCCTCGAATGTACTGTAGCACAGAAGGGGAGTGGCTTGTGCCTATTGGGAAGTGTCTGTGTAACCCAGGATATGAGGAGAGAAGCAGCACCTGCCAAAGTAAGAAACATATTTTTTTTGCAACTATTTCTCAACAGTGCTCTCACACATGCCTTGCCATGCATTGATTCTGCATGTATAAATGCACGTGTCACTTCTCTTCTACACATTTCCCTTATTTGAACCTTTGGCCTAAACAAGCAGATTTTTTTAAAGCTGTAAAAGTAAACAGTGTGATATCAGGACTCTCACGCTTCATATCTGTCAGTCCAGAAGGTTTAATGTCAAATACACTCTCTGTGTGCATGTGTGTATATGTTTGTGTGTGTATGCATTGTTTATGTGAGCTCTTCAAACTAACCCCACATTCCCAAGGTGCTAGGTGATTGGTCGGTAGTTATACGTGCATATTCCCATACATGTTAGTAGAGTGTTGTCCAGGTCCAGGGTGCAGCATATAGAGGTTCAATAGTAATTTTATCTGTGACACATCATTAGCTATGGGCAGATTTTAAGCAGAGCAGAAAGATGGGACTGATAACACAGAAGAAAGGAGTGGGCTGGAGTGGATGGTGAATGATGGGATAGCTGCGGTGATGGTTGTGGGTGTTGGTGAAGGTAGCAATGAGTAGTCATTTGATGTGCTTTCAAAAGTATGCAAATCTGCATGCCTAAAATTGCCTTTCAGACCAGTCCAACAGGACTGGTCTTCCGTACTATCGTCACACATGTTATGCAGGGGACTATTTTTTGTTGCTGCTGGATGGTTTTTAAAGTGAGCTTGTCAGAATGATTGCAGTGATACTTTGGCTGCTAGAGTTAAAGAGTTGTGCTTGGCCAGTGGGGTGACACCTTGCTCTGCAACACATCTCTACATGAGAGTTTAAAGTATAGTAGAAAACATGTAAAATGCCTCTGATTGTTGTTGTTCCTCCTCACATCATTTTGCCTTAACTTTGTCAAAAGAAGTAAAGTTATCCATTTTGAGATAAAAAAGGGATTAGCATAAAAAAATGAAAATTACAAAGTCTTCAATATCCATGGTGTAATGCATCATAAACTTCTCAAACATATATATTTGGATCTGGGTTTTAAATCTTGTAGACATGTACACAGATAGGACATCATTACACCACTTTACACAAAATTAAATTTCCTCTGTTTTGCTTCTGTGGCTGCTATAACAGCTTTCATCAATTACAGTTACAGTACTTCATCAGTGTTTCCATGCATAAAAAAAAGAAGAAGTAGAAAGTGGTCCCTGGTGTGAACAATACAATGCAGATGTGTTCAGTTCATATAAATGTAAATGCCACTATGGATATGATTACATTATATTACATTTATACATTTTTGTTTGATTATACAAAATATAAAATAGTGGCAAACAAGACCAAAGTTAGCTGAAGGCTTCCATGATGCTCTATATCTGCTCCTCTTTACTTATTTTCTGTGAGATCTTCTCTGCTTAAGAAGCCAGACACAGCATCCATCTGAAAGCAGCCACCCCTGCACTGCGGCTGTCCCAGAATGACTTTAAAATTAAAACGGTGTTGAAGTTTCTGAAAAGGAAATCCGTCTTTAGCATTCTAGGTTATTATAGTGGGTCCCAAATGGTCCCTTGTTCATCAGGTCTCTCTTTTCCAGAGCCATGCCCAGTGTTAATTAAAGATCAAAGATGGTCTCCCAGGTCAAGCCCCTGCTGTCAGGGCCAGGGGGAAGTGTTTTTCTTTTTTCTTCTGTTGCTGTGAACTCCAGGCCAACCTGTCTAACTGTACAGATAGGAGGGAAAACTTTTTCCACACTTGTCAGTATATTTTTCTGAATTTACTCATTAAAAGCCAAAGGTATCTACTGCTGAACCCCTTTGTCCCCGGTGATTAACATCTTCAGAGTAATTAGAATTTCTCCCAAGTGTCACCTGTGATTGTCATTTTTGGATTGCATTTATTTTGGTTTTGTTTTTCCAAATTACACAGAAAAAGTGTAATTTTTCATTTATATCTTTCTTATTTTTCTGCTTTTTGTCCCTATATTTGAAAGAGTACGACATGTCATTTCAAGAATGGGACATTGTACAGACAAATGGCTCACCCCTGTCCCCCCCTTGTTCCCCCCCTCCTCTCACTTCCTGCCTCTGTGAATTGTGTGAATGTTTAGATGTATTTGACAATCTCTTATTAGTTTCAGAGTGGTCTAATGGACTCTAATAAGGTCTTATGTTACCATGGAGTGGGACAGCTGCACCAACAGGCCCCCACAATCCCTGCATGCAGCCGTTGGGGGCCCCATCATGCAGCTTGCTCTCCAGGCCTTCTGTGTTAACAGATAGATGGCTGAATGGGGTTAGGTCATCCCAAACTGATAGCAAAAAGAAAAAAAAGACATATTTACAGTGCTACGAACAACAAGCCACAACATTTTCTGGGAAAAAGAAAATGGAGAAGTGGAGAATAAATAGCACTGTATATTGTAGAGAGATACTTCAGTGATATTAATTATAGACAAAGAAAACTCTTCTGTTGGTAAACTCTTCCGAGGCACCCCGGTGTCCTGAGAAATTTCTGTTGGTATTTGACAAAAATAAACAAATATGTTATTAAGATGCTTAAAAACACAGACAAACATTGAACTGATGAAACATTTATTTTTTCTGGCAGGAATAACAAGGTGGATTTAAAGACAAAAATGCTTGGACTAAGTATTGTTGACAGTGAAGATTAAGCACCTTTACTGAATATGTTATGCTTTGTTTTCTTTGATAAGATGCCTTGTTGCAGCACCTCCTCTCCTCCTTCTCTACTTTGTGAGTCTGTCTGTCTGTTTTTGATCGAGTGAAGGGGGAAGAGAAAGAGTTCGCAAGCAGTTGCTTTTGTTTACACAGACTCCAAAGTGTGTTTAAGGGCTTTAATAAAGTCGACTCTAGCATTAAACCATCATTATCTTTCTGGACTGTGTATGTGTGTGTGTGCGTGTTTGTGTCCATAGTCAGCAATGTTTGTCAAAGCAAGGATGTTGTTTCAGTGGCGCCTTCAAAGGAGCATGTGAATTCTGTCTGGCTTAGGCAAAGGGACACGGCAGTTATACGAGCATGTGCATGCTCTTTTGTGCATCTGAGTCAGACTGTGTGTCAATATAAACTTTACAATATTCTGCTATGTCTATATATGTATATATATATATGTGTGTGTGTGTGGTTTGAATCCATGTCAGAGCCGCGACTTTTATCCAATTTTTGTTGCGATGAAACTCTGTGAAAAGATAAGATGAAGATTATAATACAGTACAATGCGAATGGACGTGTCGCTGATCGCCTGGATTACTGTATGTTTTGTGAGCAGCCTTCAGCCTTTCCACACAGAGAATGTGAGGCCAGATTTAATCTCGCTAAGGCACTCTTTCATCTGTCAGAACAGACTGGAGCAGGTGAACCAACTCCTATCTACCATCAGTGTGAAATTCCTGCAACCCTAATTTGATCCTAAAACAGCAAACGCATGCCAGTTTGTGTACGCGTGTGCGACTGTGTGTTTGCGCATGCACGTTGCAAATGCAAGCAGCTGTTCGCTCATACGTTGACGAGAGACCTAAGTTTACATTCTTGCTGGATTTATCAAGACACACAATCCTGAAACCTTCCAGTAACGTAAAGCTTATTACAATTACACAGACAAAGTGTCACACATAAGCCTCAGTTGTTACTCGCCAGCATTGCTTACCGTATGCTTTCACGATAAGAGGAGGAAGGCGAGCTGTTTTAAAAGCGGTTTTAACTTCTCTTTTTAAAATCATTTGCCACTGGCGACTGGACCAACACCAAATAAAAGTTCATTTTCCCTTTCTGTTTCCTTCCTCTCCATTCATCCCAGCGCCCGATCGACTTGGCTGCCGGATCAAAGCCCGTCGTCCATCTCATGTCAAATGTTTTATTTCACTCTCCACTCTTTCACTTAAGTGATTTAGCTGCTGCCCTCGTGCACTGAACTGCATGGCTTTCAAGCAGACATTCTGGACTCACATTATACATCTTTCACTGACACTGTCACGCAAACCTGCAACAGCTTGGTCAAAGAAATACTCAAGCTTAGCCTGAAGATATTCAACACCGACTTTAGCCTCTTATAAGACGATTATGTATAGAAAGACAAGAAATTAACTTCTTCCCTGACACACTTATTTGTTGTTTATTCCCAATCTACTGACTCGCTATCATGCAATTTGGATGGCCCATATATTATCACCATAACAGGAAAATATATGGCCAATCCAATTTGCATGAAGCTGGTTGTAAGAGCTAAATGCCAGCATGGATTCACTGTTGTTCTTTTTGTGACAAATGTCCATCTATTTTTATTTTGGAGTCTCCCTGCCCCCTAGTGATCAGCAATCCTTTAATGCAACTACATGTTTCATATAAAAACCCTGGATTTATAAAAAAAAAATTACATTGTCAATGGCCCATGTATTTTATGCACACACACGTAAGAAAAATACTCTTAATATCACTGCAGAGCTCCTACAGTTATGCTTAATATTTTTCGTGTGTGTGTGTTTTTTACATGCTGTTGCTGTAGTGTCTTTGTTGTATACTTTTCTGTCAGACTGTTGAAGTTGAGTGCTGTGAATTCATGGAGCTGCTGGCTCTCCTCTGGTGCTTTGGAAGGACTCTGTTTGTTTGTGTTGGCCATTATATAACTGCCCAGCTCTCACAAAACATGTCACTTGTACCCGCAAATTTACACAAACCCACAAACCAATTGAAATGCACATATACGTAGCACTGCCTTCTAAACTGCATTTATTATTTCTAACCCACGACAAAACTAAAATTTATCATGCCTTCTTTTCTGCATTCAGGTACATTTTTACACATCTGTCTGTTGTAGCACTTATGTGTCCAGTTCACTGAGTGGTGTGGTGGGACATTATTCAGTTTTCCAGCAGAATCCTCCTGCACTTCATATACCGTCCTTGCCACATTCATGATGAAGAAAGCAGCCTAGCTCAGTATAGCAATAGCCTGTACTATTCGGTATTCGGTTCTTTAATGAAGGGCACCT